GCCTAAGCCAGATGTGCAGATTCCTGATCACCCGATTTTGAGTGTGCAAATGCAGGATTTTTGTGCACGCAACATCTACATGTGTAAACCCAGAGATCAGGTAGGAGCTGCTGAAGAGATCTTAAGCAGAGCACCTCCAACACATTTTAAAAGACCAGACAAGATGGAAGTTAGATGATAGTCACTCTAACTGGTGTAGGCACACATTGATGTTATTCAGCGTCTTGATCCAAACTGGGGTCCGGAGTGAACCAGAGGTTACAAACACTAACCCCAGAGTACCTACCTCCCAAAAGTGATCTCAGTGCTGTAACCTGGAAATGGGGAAGTGGCAGTGCAGCAGCTCTGGCTTGTCCCCCATTTTCCACTTGAGCCTATGCATAGGGGATGATTCCGCCTGTTCCAACCCTCCTGTATGAAGCCTACACAGGACACCCACCCTGCACTGCAGGTACCAACCACACCAAAAAGTAAAGCCCAGACCTGCTGTGTGCAGCCCCAGAGGCACAGACAAACTAGCCTGCCATAGTCACAAAACTACTGCGCTAGCCTATCTCCTGAAAGGACCCAGCATGGACAACCACCTAAGCCTCAGACCCTATGTAAACAGGGCTCCAAAGGCAGCCTGGTTACCTCAGCCAAGCCTGGCTGCACTTAGGAGGCCCTGGCAGGGCCTTGGCTCTGCCAGCACGTGTGGAACTCCAGCAGCACTGCTGGCTGGCTGCTGGCAGGATCGCAGGGGCTCGATTCGGTCCCCAGCTGCCTCTTGAGGATCTCTGCTCCGTAAGATTTCATGGTACTTTTTTGCAAAATGGAAGAGAACTAATCTCACTGCTGGCCAAATTCCAACTTTGCGTAATTACATTCATCTGACAAATTCTCCTTGGCAGTTTCAATGGAATATAATTAGTAAATGTAAATAGATGTAAATAGTGCTGTAAATTACACTGTGCATGATTGTCAGGAGCAGCACGGGAAGGAGGGCGCAAAGGGGCAAAAGGAGCAGAGGTTCATTCTCCAGTAGGGATGAAGTTGTGACCTTCACCATTCACGGACTATGTATGCCCCTGCCAGGGCACTGTGCTCTGAGAGACAGCAGCAGCAGACGTCACGACCCAGCCCAACCGTGGCATTCAGTGCGCAGATCATCCACTTCACCTCAAGAACAAATCTAACCTGATGGTGTTAGGTTGTGTCCTACAGCTGGGCTGTTACACAGCTGCTGCGCTCCACCTCAGCTGTGGGTCTGTTCCAGCAGCAGGCAGACTGCTTCAGCATTTACCCACGTACGCACGCACAACTGCCAAACGTGTGTACACGGCATTATTGATTTCTGTGAAATGTTTATCACATTTGTGAATGGCTTGTGAAGCCTTCTGCTACCAATTGAAGAAGCGTCACATAAATGGACTTACGTAATTATCTTTCAAAGCTATTTTAATGCAGCTCCATGTACTTGGTTTCAAGTAAAGTGGAAATAGCTTCTACTAAAAACAAAGTAAATGCAGATACTTAAATTTAAGCAGTCAAACGGATTTAAAAGCAACTATTTAAAGTAGTCAAAATATATGATAAGGTATCCCCTTTTTATATTATCTAAATATATTAATTTTATTTATTTTACATATATCAAGTCTCTTACATATGTAATATGTTTAAAATACAAAGTGCTACGGCTAGTGGGCTTAACCAGGTATTTCTTTCATATAGAAAATTTGAGGATTAGTTTTCAATAATTCACTAATTTTTAATTTTATTCAAAATTTGCTTATAGAAACCAGTAGAATGAAGGGAAAGTTTATATTCTCAACAAAAGCTGGTTGCATTATTTAGCTATAACAGGAGAAACAGATGTTTCAGCTTTACAATACCATGTCTTGCAAAACTTCCTTCTAAATGACTAGTCGTGCTCTACATGTTTTGGACTGCATAAGGAGAGCTCTGCTAACAGGCATGGGAAGCACTGCATACATTAGTGAAGCCCACATTAAGATAATTAACGCTAAAAAAAAAATCACTAAGCCTTTTTTTTTCTTTGTAGTATTGAGTTAGTGTGGGTGAAAAATGCCAGATTTTCAATCTTGAAGAATCATGTCCCACCTCAGAGTGGGAGATGGAGCCAGCTTTTCCCAGTGTTCTCCCACTAAACTCTTAAGACTCAGGGGCTAGGAGGAAAATTCAGGCTCTATGCTCTATTGATCCTTAGTCTTTCTGATGAGCCTATGAAAATAGGGAATGGGGAGCTCACTACCTGGGACAAGAAACTCAACTTGTTATTCCTTGTGGTGATATCTACCCAATTATTTTTTCACCAAAAATTGTCATAATTGCTGTTGACAGTGCAAATGGCCTGGAGGCAGTACTGAAGCTGCGCTTTTGCAGAGAGGACTCTGGGCAGTAGTAGCAGCTGTGTGAAAATTTCTACAGTGTAGGATGCTGTTGAGACTCATTCTCTGTGTCTTATATGTGTATTTTAATACAGACTAGTCTCAAAAGGGCACTGCAAGAGTTTGCAAACCCTATGATGGGTTATACACATCATTTCACTCTTCATCTGACAGTAACTTTGCCTTCTGCAGGTCTATACAATGTCTATTAAGGATATGGGCACATACTCCAATGTGATTGCTGTGGCAGCTTAAAAAATCACTTTTACGTGTGCTGTTAGGCTGAAGTAAGAGGACAGTTTAAGGTAGCAAATTTTATTTTGTATTTAATGATAGTCTAGGAGCATGCACAGGAACAGCTCTGACTGCACTGCTGATGGGTGGCTACTTGCTAAGCTGTCACAACTTGAGTTTATTCCTTTGGGGAGGGATCTGAAGAGAATAAAGTGTCCCACTAGAACTTTTAGTACTTATTTCAGTAATAAAACTATCCAGGTTGAAGATGACATTATTTTGAATGGTGTTTAGAAGGGTCGCTTTAAAACCACTTGCTTTCAAGTGAAGTGATAATCAGTCTAAGTAAGCACTGTAACACTTTTATAATGGAAGGCCAACACATCTTTTTTCATTCAGTTTGTACGAGTAACTGAGCACAGCTGTTTTACTGAAAAAAACCCACTGTCATTTAAGTAGATTAGCAAAATTAACTGTGAAAATCCTCTGCTATATGAAAGCCAATAACCTGCTGGCCACAAGGAGGCAGGGCAAGGATTCAGTAAACTCAAAGAAACTGCTTTTTCTTTTTCTTTTTTTTTTTTTTTAAGGAGTGTTAAATTAGTTAAGTCATGAAACTCTGAACTGCTAGGCAAGATAAAAAACACTTTTCAGCCATAGTGTGTGGTTTCAGTATTGCTGTTTTATTCCAACAGCAGCAAATATCTTAATAAATCAAACAATAGCTGATCTGGCAGCAATTTTATGCTTCTTTTGAAGAAGCAGTTCACACATGTTTCTTCTTCATCACTTCTGTGTGATGTACAGTAAAAAGGAAAGTTCTAACAGTAAGATTTGCTAGCAGTGGTAGATTTACCAACTCAGGGCAAGAACCAGTACAGCCAGGTTCGGAACGTGTTGCTCCCAAGCTAATAAATCCTGCTTCTTGGCAGGCATCAAGGCAAGTTTGGGAGTTCTGCCTTTCACTCCCTTGGCATTTCTGCTTCTGGGGTTAATGTAAGCAGATGAATTTAGGTGTCCAGAGTTCCTTACTGAGTGTGACTTATAGGCAGTGATGCCTCCTTTAACCAGAACTTTAGGACATTTTAAAATCAACCCTAACTCGAGGTCAGACTTCTAAATGGCAAAAGGGGCAAAAGAGAAAAACAAAGCCCATGCATGCCTTTTTCAGAATTAAATTGAAAAGGATTAAACTTACCATGGTATCAACACATCACAGTACAAATCTATCACTGATCTTCTGTTTTAAGAGAACTGACTCTACTCCTAGCCCTGCCACTGGAGGCTATTCAGCTAGAGAATTTCAGTCCCCCCCTCTCGCTTTCCTTATCTTGTAAGCAGTTACTTTCCTTCTTTGTGAAGCAGTATGAGGTCCATGGATAAAAAATATGTTAGAATAACTAGTTATTATTAATACAATTCAGATATGGAATGCAGCAGATGGTAAAATCTCCAGGATTTTAATGAATTATTGTAACAGAACATATGTAATATGACGTTATCATAACAGGCATTTAAATGTATAGTTAGTACATACAACGTGACCTGCTCTGCTCTCAGTAACTCCACTGGAATTATTTTGGATTTATGTCAGATAATACTAGGAACACAAAAGAGCCCCATATGTGCAATGTGGTGAGGTTTTCTTAGCAAGGCTATCTTAACTATTGCCTTTCTTTTTTTTTTTTTTTTTTGCTGGGGGGATTGTATCTAGCAGTTTTGCTGTTAGAGAATGCTTTCTGCATTTAATTCTGAGCAGGTAGTAAAAATATACCCTAAAAATGGCAAAGGTGAAAATATTCCTTATACAAGTGTTCCTTATACATCATCATAAAATGGTTAAGTCATGAAGCAGTAAACATTTTTTTTTCCACTATATTCTGTAAAAAATTATGTCTTTCATGTACCTTACGCTAGATTCGGTAAAGGATTTGCCTGGGTAAGCAATTCAGGCTTGTGTCAGAAGAGCCAACCACTTAGTTTCAGACTATGAGGGTAGTAATACCTCCTTTCTCCCACAACATTCCCACAACATAGATGATGAACTACATGACTGGGCAAAGGTGAAAAAACGGGACTGCAGCTCAAGTGACCGGCACCACACTTTTCAGTGAGAAAGAGACAGGTATTGACTTCAGTAAATAAGGAACATAAAGATACTATCAGTATTTATAATAATTCTAGCATATCTACAATACAGCCTATAAAACTCAAGTGAACTGACATTTAATATATGAGAGGCTGGAAGCAAGATATCAATTTCACATCATAAATTAGCCTTTGTGCTAGTGCCCAAAGAATTGGCTGATTACTCATTGCTTTCCCTTAGTGCTTAAGTAGTCTTTTCCAAAGCAAGACAGTTAAACCACAAAAACGTACCGTAGTGTCCACAGCCCTGACCTTCCCAGCAGGAACGTGCTTTGGAATAGGTTCTTCTACTGATATCATCATGCAGCCTTCTGCTCCAAGAGTAACAATTACAAGCTTACACCCTCTTTCTAACAGCATGCGTCCCACCTTTTCAGCATCTTCAAGGTTGCCAACTGGGATGCCCGTTAAAATTTCTGCCTGGAAAAAAACCCACGCAAATGAAAATCACAATTTGACAGTATTCATTTTTGGACAATAGCTGCATTTCAAAACAGTATTTAACACCTTCTTAAAATGTGTATTATAGGATGATCCTGAAACCACTTCCTACACTGATATTCAACTACGTCTTGCTCTGTGTTTGAAATCAATGTACACTGCAGACTAACGGAGAGCAACCTAAGCAGAGACACAGGAGGCATGGGTTCTGTTCCAGCTTCTACAACATGCCTGGCACGAAACCTTTAGTAAAATCACATTTCTCCCACGTGCCTCGGTTTCTTCATATGTGAAATGAAGACAACACCGCAGTCCTTGGCAAAAGCATTTTGTGGTCTGATTTGAAAAATGGTACAGGGCAACTCGGTCACTCTTCTTGGGGGATATTTACCACTGAGTGAGAAACTTTTAAATTCTCAGGGTTCAACTAGTGAGGAATTACTAGGGAAAAATTTCTCTGAGGAATGAAATACCATTGCTCAACCTTGACCACTGCCTCTACTTCAATATATATTTTTATATAAGAATAAGTGAAAGTTGTCTGAAGCCCTCTTTGGGTAAAGGCCTATTACAAGGACTATTATATATTTGTATTATGGCAATGTCCACGGGCCTCTGCCAGGACTGAGACCCCTTTCTGTTGGGTCTTTACAAACACAGATAAAGATAAACGCTTCTTTTAGTAGATGGTAACCCTGAATCAACTTTTCCCCGTTGACTTCTAATCCCCTCTAGCTCCACCTAACTGAGAGGAAATTTCCCAAAAATTTGCAATGAAGACTCCAGAATCAAACATCCTTTTCTCCACTTCATACATTTGCTGGCATAACATTTGTCAATGCGATGTGGCTTTTTTTTGGTGTTTTTTTTTTTTTGGTGGAGGGTGGGCAGAAGAGGAGTACAAGAATGGAACAGGAAGAAAGGGAAGAGAAAATAAAGTACGTTTTATTTGATACGCTCTACCAGACAGTACTCCTCCTTCCTACTAGAGTATGTTTTCAATGATAAGTAAAAGTAAGCATATATTGCTGTCTTTACTAAATCTTGTCCTGCTTGCCTTAGAAGAGGGAAGTCCTACTCTCTCTTACACTACAAGGTTGCTAGATTCTGAAAAAAAAAATGCAGCCTGCAGTATTTTCAGATATCTATCTATTAATCAGGCATAATTTCCATGCTCTAAGGGTTTATTTTCAGCTGAAAGCTTACTCTGGAATCTCTTTGCCAGCTATACTTCCTGACCACTGCTGCACAGACAGCTCAGCGTCTTGGGAAACAGCTACTGAAATACTTCAAGTCACCTTTCCATGTATTACTGAAACTTGAAATCAGTGCGCTATTCCTTGATACAGCAGCCTATAAACTACAGCAATTCAGCCACTGCTCTGTAGAGTACCGGCCATCTCTGCAGTAGAGCTGGGCAGGGCAGACAGCTGGGGACAGGAACTACTACTGGCCTCCCAGAGTAAATCGCCCCCAGTTGTGAGTCAGAGGCCTCGCTGCCTGCCACTGTCATTTCCTGTGTTTCTCTCTGACCCAGAACTGAGAAGCACCCTGAGGCTTTGAAGGGCCAGCTTATCCCAAGCCACTTAGCATTAGAGTTTATATTAACAGAGTACTCATTTGGTTGTAAGTTTGGTGTTTATAGGACCAAGTTCTGCAGTCCCTCCTTAAAGAAATGCACAAATGATTTCCAGAGCTGTTGATCTGGTAGCTGCATGGTAGATTCTGGTGTGGCAGACCTTGCCGTGTAAACTCCTGTACTGCAGGGACAAGTATACACAATTTAAAACTACTTTTTTTAGCCACATTGATGCCAGGCAAGAATATAGTACATTTTAAATTACTGAGAAGGCAACTAAACCTACTAAATTTTCTCTTTAGCAATGTCACCATCCTGCTCAAAAATTTCTTGCAGTTGAAACTATTTAGGCAAATGAAATCTCTTTTTGTTTTTTAAAGGGTACAAAAGTGTTTTCAAAAAAGAGAATTTGTTTCAAAAAAAAACCTCACAAAACTTTTTGAATATATCTTCTTGCAAAGTTTGCAAGAAATCAGTAATCCAATAATGGCTTTGGAGTTCCTAGGAATAGACAGTTAATATTATTGAAATGTATATATTCTATTCTAATATTCAAGCGCTTACAAAGTCTGTGCGTCTTTGTGAATTTTCAGATCTCTGGAGCAGGAACCATGTGTTCCTGTATTCAGAACACCTAGCACATCATGTTACAAGAATAAAAATAGATTAGGAGAGCGCACACACAAATCCTTAAATGAAACTGGATAAATGAATTTCTAATCTACTTCACAATGGGCAATAATTCCAAGCATTCTAGGCATTCTGCAAAGCCTCCAGGAAGAAAGTGGGTTTGGTTTTGATAGAGACATAGTCAAATTAATTTGGGTTTACTTTAGCTGGTCTTTACACTTCTGTAATCTCATGGTCAAGGTAAATCAATCACTTAAATCACCATAAAAGGTATCAATATTGAATTTTCCAAGTGTTTGTACTCTTGAAATTGAGCTAACAGAACTCAAAATAAACAATTACAGAATGGTCATAATCTCTGTAGTGAAACACACATTTGTCTGCTTAGTATTAATGTGGTACCCCTCGTTGTGATAGCTGTGTCCTACATTAATAGGATTTTTTGCTTGGCTACTGGAAGGAGAATTGTTTTGGGATTGATATCTTTAAGGTTCTGTAGAAATCTTTCTTTTCGTCATTACACTGCTTATAACAATACATAAATTTATTCTGAATCAGACAGGGTCTGTATAAAAGTAGACCTTCAACTGCTTGAAACCACTATCATATAATTCATCTACAGCAGGCTGGTAAAACTAAAAAACACTGGAACAAGCTGAAAGAACCATAAAAGCAACAGAAGCCAGACTGATTTTGTGCCAATAATTAGAGATTGCGGTAAATGTCAACTGATGTTAAATACTGTGGTGAGTTTTTTAAGTTCCTCCCTTCAGTAAAATCTTATTTAAAAAAAACAAACAAACTGTGGTACAATTGAAGGAAATAACTAATGGTTATGTAAAGAAAAAAATTAAATAACAATACTGAAAGTCCAATATGGATATTTGCCACAGTACTCTACAAAAGAGCAGCAAATGAAGAAATTTATTTTTCTGCAGCTAGTGTCATAAAACTCCTCAGTTATATGGGCCTATTAAAGCTAGAGGACACTGCACAGAACTGCTGTCAGAATAAACTTATGATGGATATTGTATAACTAATCTACACAGAATTTTCTTAATTTTGATTATAAAAGTGCAAGAGAAATTTAACTGAAATTTTAATTTGACTGATATGAAGATCCTTGGCCATACTTCTCTCTAATCTTCATTAAGGCTCTACGTGTCTCTAGTCTGTGGAGATTAGCTATAGTGAGCTGACATAAACCAGCACTGCTACAGAAAAAAATGGTCCTGCCCTCACTTCCACTCCTGTCGACCTAGCTACTTCTCTTGTGCCAGCACAGGTGCTCATGTGGCCAGGCAATAAAGTGGATTGTAAGGCAGACTGTGTTAAAATTAATCCCAAAATAAAACATAACAGAATAATTAACTTCTTTCAACTGCAGTACTAGTTCATGCTGGCTAAACATGAGAATGAAACTGTGATGTTAGTCTTTGCCAGGTGCTCCTAACTGTGGCGCGTTCTGGGCAACTTATGGCTTACATAGCCACTTCCAGAGAGAAGTGCTAGATCCTCTACCTGAGCCTTGTGAGACCAAGTCTGGAATACTGGGTCTAGTTTTGGCATCCCTGCCCAGGCAGGGGGCAGGAGCACAGGAGATTACAAGAAGAGGCTGAGAGAATTGGGTTTGTTCAGCCTTAAGAAGAAAAGGCTAAGGGGAGATCTAATTCCTGCCTACCACTATTTAACGGGTGGATGTAGAGAAGCTGGAGCCAGACTCTTCTTGAAGGCACATGGTGATGGAACCAGAGACAATGGACGCAAGCTGGAACACGGGAAATGCTGATTAGATAGTAGGAAAAGCCTCTGCACTAGGAAGGTGGCGCAGCACTGGAACAGGTGCCCAGAAAGGTTGTGGGATCTCCCTCCTGGGAGATTCAAAACGTGACTGGAGACAGTCCCGAGCAATCTGATCTAAGTTAGCCCTGTTTCACCAGGCTGTGGGACTGGAGACCTCCAGAGGTCTGGTCCTACCATCTATGATCTTCAAAATATGTAAACTGGTGCGATAACAAGACATGTTTATTCTTTGTACTTAATCTTTTTCTTTAGTGTCCACACATCACCCAGCACAATAGCAACTTTGTAAATGAAAAATGTTTCCAGGTGCTGCTGGAGTAGAAATAATGAATAATAAAAATGGAACTGTGCCAGTTTTACAGCTATCCCATCTAAAACTACAGAAGACAATTTTAAATATTTAAACACAATAAGCCAGTTAGCTACAAACTTGGCTTGTACCTTAGCAGACTTCTTGAGAGTGATAGAACAAAAACTTGATCTCACTAATTCTGACACGTGTAAAGAGTCCCAAAGAAGTACTAAGACAGAACTGGTGTAAGCAATTGCAAGACCAGATCACAAGCCAACTTAGTTCCAGTTGTTTCAAATTATAAAAATTTTACATACATACAGGGAGAAACACTTATCATGCTAGAATAATTAAAAACTGATTGAAATGAATTGGCTTGAAGCTATTCCCTCCCCTCCCAAAAGTGACATATTTCATTTTAGACTAAGCAGGGGAATTTTCATAGTTTCCAGCAACTGATAAAATACGCTTTAGAACAAAGTTGGAATTCAAATTAAAATATACTGTGAGTTGCTGGCAACTTCTACATAATGGAGCGATAGTACCTTTCTATTACATAAAAGAAAAAGGCCAGTTCCTGGGATGTTCTAAAATATTTTAATTCTAAAGGACATATCGTTGATTTGTGCAGTAGAGATATCAATTTTTTTTTCCTTAATAAAGACTATACCTATTATTAACCTCTCCATATGAGTAAGCAACACCTAAAACGTCCTAATCCAAGACTCCAGATGCCGTTTTATAATCTCAATATTTTCTGAATCTTGTAAATGTCAGTACTGTTTCTGTTTTTTGGATATGCTAACAAGATTTTCCATAATTAATATTTCTTCCAAAAATGATTTAACTTCTGCTAATAGACAAAAATGCATAAAAGGAAACAATGAGATAATATCTATTTTTCCGCATCATTTTTATAGGTCTTGCAGTATCATTTAACAAAATTAGTTAACAAATTTATACTTAGATGTACTGCTTTCTACCATTGAAAACTCACAGTATTCTGCTAGTATTAAATTAAAACTTTGCTAGGCCTTATTTAGATCACAAGTCAGATACCCATTTTATATTAGGAGTAAGCAGTTCTAAGTGTTGCATTCACAATAGCTCGATACACTAAATCATTTGCTGTAACCATTCTGGACTTCTCCTTCTCCTGAAGGGCTCTTCAGTATTCCCTGAACAGAGAAGCAGCTGTTCTTCAAAATGTTTAGGACCAAGTTCAAATCACTGATGTGCAATATATTTTGGTTCCTAGCCTGCTTGTGCAGGGCTGTGTAATTGCATGCACACACTAAATAACAAAAACAGTGCAGGAGCTGTATCGACATTGTGGTTGTGCTCAGGAGCCATACAGCAGCCAGGAATCATACAAAGATGTGGGAAAAAATGGTGAGTATCCTGAAGAACTCGTCTTGTATGGGGTTGTCTCTTTTTCAGCATTTACAGACAACTGAAAAGAATAACCATTGGTTTTCACTAAGATGACATTTGATACATTTATTTTTCCCTAGAAGAATTAAGGGAATGGAGAACTAGCACATTCCTGCACAAACCTCAGGGATTAGGCTGTGCTGCATCTGGGAATTAACAAACTAGTCTCAACAAGCTTGATCTTTCTGGGAAAAGATAAAACTGAACTACAGGCTAAGCAAAGAAAGAACTGATAACCTTGCAAGATTTGTTCTGAGTTATTTTGTTCATGAACCACATAAAAAGAAAGTAGTGTCAGACATAAAAAAAATTTATTATTGAAACAAGCAAGACTGAAAAGAACAGCTTGTGAAGAGCCTTCTAGACAAACTAATGGTAGATAATTCACTGATAGTATAATTTTGTTTGCTTCTCCCTAGCACATAAATCCATAGGAACAAACTGTGCTGTTACACCAGATACTGTGTGTGATTTCATTAAAACCTGAAACATTTAATGTATGATAAAGTGTGAAGTAGCATTTGATACATGTTTGGGACCTGACATCCCATGGCTGTCTGAAATCATAACTGACACTTTTAAACTTTCCTTCTGTGATAAAGGCATCACAGATCAAAACTGCTGACCTTCATGGAAGCAAACATTAGAAATTTCTCACTCAGTAATAACTGAACTAATCACAAGAGGGATCCCCTTTTTTCTCATCTTAAACAATACAAACTTTCCACATAGTCCAGGAAATGCCTTAATCTAAATGGCTAATTTCCCTTTCTACAACTATCATAATCTTCTGTTACAAACATATCATTCACATGACATCCACAAATCACAGGCGTTTAGCATTTAAAGGTGTCCCTTGGTGAACAATAAAAATAAAGATATTTTGGTAAAACTGTGTGATAATACTTGTAAATTTAAAGAAACCTAAACCAAGGAATATTTTAGAAAAAGTTGAACTAAATAGCTCTAAAGAGTTAGTCTTTAAACCTGAGAAGATTTATTAAGAACTATTTAAAGGGCTTAGTAAAGATAAACCAAGAATACACTGTTTGCTTTCTGACAGTACCTACAAACCCCAAATAAAAAACAAAAGTTCCCCTGAAAGGAGTATGGTTGGAACATAAAAGTTTTGGCTAGAAGGAAGTTGTTCAAGACTTAGCAATAACAAATAGGAAGGAGAATGGAGCTGGAATAGAGAATCTCAAGACACCAGGTGTAGGCAGCACATTCAATAGGTTTGGCCATAGAGAATAAAAAAACCCAAACCCATAAAATAAGAATAGCCATAGTGGCTCAGAGCAAAAATTCATCTTATTCAATTCATATTTCTGACAGTGATTGCTAGCAGGCCCTAAGGGAAAGACAGTAAAAAAAACCCCTCTCCCTCTCTCTACATATATATCTATACATACATATAAAGATCTTTTCCCAGTATATAGTCTGCATCACCAAAGGTTTAGGGACTTACTGATTTAAGAAGATGGAGAAAATACAGGTGGAGTTGGTTGAATGAATAAAGTTTAAACATTTTGAAATAAAAATTAGTATTATCCTTAAGATTTGTCAAATTAACTTACGGCTTTTAAGCGCTGTATAGAGATGTGATCAGTGACCTTTATTTGGGTATGTAAACATTCATCTCTATATCAGACTTCTCAAGTGCATACATTACAGTGATGTGAAATTAAAGAAAGTCATGAAAGAAAACAAAACAGATGGCACATGAATATAGAACAATTACTAAAATAAAAAAAAAACTTGCAAACTTGTGACATAAGAAAAAAATACTTCATTCTTCCTCTTTTCTTAGCAAAAAGAAAGGAACAATGTAAATCATTTCAGTAACAAATCAGATACATGGAGGGGATGAAATAAAATATATTTGATTATTACAGTCCTGGTAACGTACTGGATTTCATTGTAAAAAATGAAAAGGTTATTGTTAAAAACAAAGCTATTTATGTGCAATTCTTGTTCTCAGAACATGCTGTAAGAGTCCCACAATTAGATCTGGGCACCTATGACATGGTTGGTAGGAATTCCATAGGTCTACCATTTCCATAAATCAGAAGAGAGAAGTCTCCTCATCAGTAGAGAGCATATTTCCTGTCCTAACTGTGCCCAAAGTAATCACAGCTATCTTCAAATGCTAGTGACTTTCTAAAGAAAATAGTAGAAAAGAATCCAAACGGTACCCTCAGCTCTGCAGGAAAGGTGGATGAGTGAGCAGAGATCTATTGATAATTATACACCTGTAATTCTTATTCTCCAAATAGAATTCATTTTCTTTTCCCCATGTGGCGGTAATAATAATGCACCCTGGCTTCAGCAAGCTAAACATCTCAAAGAATGTCTCTTTAAAGACTGTCCTCTACCAATAAACTATAACAAAAGGAAAACTTTAACATGTGTGTTGCAAAGAGCAACGAGAGAAAAATCAGGAATAGATAAGAAATAAAAAACAAAGTTTTTGTTTCTAACATATGGGGAATAAGTTTCCTCGGGGGAAAAAAAAAGTATATAGTGACATATGAAAAAAGCAAACAACAAATGACATTTACTAAATTGGTGGGAGAGTATGGGTGTTCTCAGCCGAAAATGTGCGCCATAGCCCCATTCAGCCAATCCAAGGGCATAGTCCAGGCATAAGTGTTTTCTGAAAGCATGAAGAAAACACCATATGGATGTCCTGCAAGTTTCCTGAACAAGAATAAATACTTTGCCTTATCATTCTTAACATGCTGTATGATTGAGCTCTGATGGCTCTTAGATAGTGCCGAAGCGACAAAAGATGTCAGTGCCAGTTACACTGGAAATTTCACCTTCTAGAGACCTAGGGAGCCACAGCACCTTCCACCTTGCAGGAAACAGCTATTTTGCAAGTTCTTGAATGCTCTAGGGTATCTAAACTTAGCTGACGTGTATATACTAGAATAAAACTCTGATATCAACTTGGGTTGCTTAGATCCTGAAATGCTAGAAGACTCATGGACTGAGGTCTTCTGATACGGTTTGTGATGGGTTTTAACAGAATTTTCAAAGGAGGTTAATTGAGCCTTGAAGAACTTATTCTTCAAATAAATGACAGACATTGTTATCAGATGAAAAATCCTGCAATAATCAGGGCCATGCTCTTCTCTTAGCTCTTTCCCCTCTCCTCCCTACCCCAAGGTATCACGTGCAATGCAGAAAGCATGTTTGTTGGCGATAACTTGAACTATGTTCAGGGCATGGCTTCTGTCCACTAGGTTACTTCTCACACATTCCTGTTTATATAAAGAGAGGGTGAGGGGAAGGAACATAGCATGCATAACGCCAATAAATAGGAAATTTAAACAAAGGCCTTATGAGACAAGAGCTTAATTTGTCTCTTGTGACAAAAATTATTTGCTTTGGGAGAAATAACACACTTGAATTAGAGAGGGAGGGAAAGAAAAAAAATGGAAACATATAGCTGAAGGGCCGGAGAAAGAGAGATTCACTGAAAATAGATCTGACAGGAAGAGGTATATGAAGCTACTGTTTACCATCAAGTGCAGCATGCATGCCTCACCTCCTGGCAAGCCAGTTTAAAACTGTCAGAACACTATGGCTAGCACACTCCTGCTAATCATATCAGGGGACCACAGAAAAAGGACAAGGATCTATTTTAGTATTTACTACTCAGTGCTAACATTTTAAAATTGTCCTTTTATGGATTTGTTTTACTCATCTACTTGCAAGGAAGTAACACAGCTGGACACAACTTTCCCTTTAGAAGCTATTAATTTAATTTCAAGTGCAATCTAGAGTTCTAGAATATTCTTCTTTGCTCATTACATCATGGATCAAGCTTGCCGCCTCCAGAAGTCCTGTGTAAAAGCAGTATGGC